CTACAACAACAACCACAAGACAACTTAGATTAAGGCCGTCAGTCTAACTCCGTACTACAACAACAACCACAACAAGACAACTTAGATTAAGGCCGTCAGTCTAACTCCGTACTACAACAACAACCACAAGACAACTTAGATTAAGGCCGTCAGTCTAACTCCGCACTACAACAACAACCACCACAAGACAACTTAGATTAAGGCCGTCAGTCTAACTCCGTACTACAACAACAACAACCACAATTACAACTTAGATTAAGGCCGTCAGTCTAACTCCGTACTACAACAACAACCACAAGACAACTTTAGATTAAGGCCGTCAGTCTAACTCCGTACTACAACAACAACAACCACAACACGACAACTTAGATTAATGGCGTCAGTCTAACTCCGTACTACTACAACAACCACAAGACAACTTAGATTAAGGCCATCAGTCTAAACTCCCTACTACAACAACAACCACAAGACAACTTACATTAAGGCAATCAGTCTACCTCCGTACCACAACAACAACCACAACAAGACAACTTAAATTAAGGCTGTCAGTCTAACTCCGCACTACAACAACAACCACAAGACAACTTTAGATTAAGGCCGTCAGTCTAACTCCGTACTACAACAACCACAACAAGACAACTTAGATTAAGGCCGTCAGTCTAATTCCGTACTACAACAACAAGAACCACAAGACAACTTAGATTAAGGCCATCAGTCTAACTCCGTACTACAACAACAACCACAAGACAACTTAGATTAAGGCCGTCAGTCTAACTCCGTACTACAACAACAACCACAACACGACAACTTAGATTAATGGCGTCAGTCTAACTCCGTACTACAATAACAACCACAAGACAACTTTAGATTAAGGCCGTCAGTCTAACTCCGTACTACAACAACCACAAGACAACTTAGATTAAGGCCATCAGTCTAACTCCATACTACAACAACAACAACCACAACAAGACAACTTAGATTAAGGCCATCAGTCTAACTCCGTACTACAACAACAGGCACAAGAGAACTTAGATTAAGGACATCAGTCTAACTCCGTACTACAACAACAACCACAAGACAACTTAGATTAAGGTCGTCAGTCTAACTCCGTACTACAACAACAACCAAAACAAGACAACTTAGATTAAGGCCATCAGTCTAACTCCGTACTACAACAACAGGCACAAGACAACTTAGATTAAGTCCGTCAGTCTAACTCCGTACTACAACAACAACAAGACAACTTAGATTAAGGCCGTCAGTCTAACTCCGTACTGCAAGAACAACCACAAGACAACTTTAGATTAAGGCCAGCAGTCTATCTCCGTACTACAACAACAACAACAACCACAAGACAACTTAGATTAAGGCCGTCAGTCTAACTCCGTACTACAACAACAACAACCACAAGACAACTTAGATTAAGGCCATCAGTCTAACTCCGTACTACAACAACAACCACAAGACAACTTAGATTAAGGCCATCAGTCTAACTCCGTACTACAACAACAACAACCACAAGACAACTTAGATTAAGGCCATTAGTCTAACTCCGTACAACAACAACAACAACCACAAGACAACTTTAGATTAAGGCCATCAGTCTAACTCCGTACTACAACAACCACAAGACAACTTAGATTAAGGCCATCAGTCTAACTCCGTACTACAGCAACAACCACAACAAGACAACTTTAGATTAAGGCCGTCAGTCTAACTCCGTACTACAACAACCACAACAAGACAACTTAGATTAAGGCCGTCAGTCTAATTCCGTACTACAACAACAACAACCACAAGACAACTTAGATTAAGGCCATCAGTCTAACTCCGTACTACAACAACAACCACAAGACAACTTAGATTAAGGCCTTCAGTCTAACTCCGTACTACAACAACAACCACAAGACAACTTAGATTAAGGCCGTCAGTCTAACTCCGCACTACAACAACAACCACCACAAGACAACTTAGATTAAGGCCGTCAGTCTAACTCCGTACTACAACAACAACAACCACAAGACAACTTAAATGAAGGCCGTCAGTCTAACTCCGTACTACAACAACAACCACAAGACAACTTTAGATTAATGGCGTCAGTCTAACTCCATACTACAACAACAACCACAAGACAACTTAGATTAAGGCCGTCAGTCTAACTCCGTACTACAACAACAACCACAAGACAACTTTAGATTAAGGCCGTCAGTCTAACTCCGTACTACAACAACAACCACAAGACAACTTAGATTAAGGCCGTCAGTCTAACTCCGCACTACAACAACAACCACAAGACAACTTAGAATAAGGCCGTCAGTCTAACTCCGTACTACAACAACAACCACAAGACAACTTAGATTAAGGCCATTAGTCTAACTCCGTACAACAACAACAACCACAAGACAACTTAGATTAAGGCCGTCAGTCTAATTCCGTACTACAACAACAACCACAAGACAAGTTAGATTAAGGCCGTCAGTCTAACTCCGTACTACAGCAACAACCACAAGACAACTTTAGATTAAGACCATCAGTCTAACTCCGTCCTACAACAACAACAACCACAACAAGACAACTTAGATTAAGGCCATCATTCTAACTCCGTACTACAACAACAACCACAAGACAACTTTAGATTAAGGCCGTCAGTCTAACTCTGCACTACAACAACAACAACCACAAGACAACTTTAGATTAAGGCCGTCAGTCTAACTCCGTACTACAACAACCACAACAAGACAACTTAGATTAAGGCCATCAGTCTAAATCCACACTACAACAACAACCACAAGACAACCTTAGATTAAGGCCATCAGTCTAACTCCGTACTACAACAACAACCACAACAAGACAACTTAGATTAATGCCATCAGTCTAACTCCGTACCACAACAACAACCACAAGACAACCTTAGATTAAGGCCATCAGTCTAACTCCGTACTACAACAACAACCACAACAAGACAACTTAGATTAATGCCATCAGTCTAACTCCGTACCACAACAACAACCACAAGACAACTTAGATTAAGGCCGTCAGTCTAACTCCGTACTACAACAGCAACAACCACAAGACAACTTAGATTAAGGCCGTCAGTCTAACTCCGTACTACAACAACAACAACCACAAGACAACTTAGATTAAGGCCGTCAGTCTAACTCCGTACTACAACAACCACAAGACAACTTAGATTAAGGCCGTCAGTCTAACTCCGTACTACAACAACAACCACAACAAGACAACTTAGATTAAGGCCGTCAGTCTAACTCCGTACCACAACAACAACCACAAGACAACTTAGATTAAGGCTGTCAGTCTAACTCCGTACTACAACAACAAAACAAAAACACCGTGTCCAAACCGAAAAAAAAAACCTTTTTCGAAATCACCAAAAAATCAAATAAAGCCATCATTGCAACGTAACAGTTCATCACAGGGGGACTGTGACCGAATTTTTTGTTTACAATAAACTACGTAAATATCATGTAACACCAAATCCTAGTGAGTAGTGAAGCCTTCGTCCCGACTCAGTCCACTGTGGCAACTCGCACTGACACAGGCCGAGGCTCTGCGTAGATTCTGCAGCGTCCGGCGTTTGTGGCTCGTTCAGATTCGCCAGGAGGCTTCGTCCAGACTCAGTCCACCGTGGCAACTCGCGCTGACACAGGCCGAGGCTCTGCGTAGATTCTGCAGCGTCCGGCGTTTGTGGCTCGTTCAGATTCGTCAGGAGTCTTCGTCCCGACTCAGTCCACCATCGCAGCTCGCTCTAAGCCAGGCCGAGGCTCTCCGTAGATCCACAGCATCCGGCGTTTGTGGCTCGTTCAGTTTAACCAGGAGACTTCGTCCTGACACCGTCCACCATCTCAACTCGCCCTGAGCCAGGCCGAGGCTCTGCGTGGTCCCACGGCGTCCGGCGTTTGTGGCTCATTCAGATTAACCAGGAGACTTCGTCCTGACACCGTCCACCATCTCAACTCGCCCTGAGCCAGGCCGAGGCTCTGCGTGGTCCCACGGCGTCCGGTGTTTGTGGCTCGTTCAGATTAACCAGGAGACTTCGTCCTAACACCGTCCACCATCTCAACTCGCCCTGAGCCAGGCCGAGGCTCTGCGTGGTCCCACGGCGTCCGGCGATGTTCCTGGGGCCCCGGGCTTTGGTTGGCGAGGCACCGGCTCCGTCTCCTCTCCCAGCGGCACCGTTCCACGCGTGCCGCTGCCTAGAGGCCCTTTCCGGAAGCTTCGCTCACCCCCCACCCCCCGCCCACGTGTCCCTCAGCCAATCATCCTCCTCCTCCAATCCTCCTCCTCAGCCAATCATCCTCCTCCTCCTCAGCCAATCATCCTCCTCCTCCTCATCCAATCCTCCTCTTCCTCCAATCATCCTCCTCCTCCTCCTCCAATCCTCCTCCTCAGCCAATAATCCTCCTGATCCTCCTCCTCCTCAGCCAATCATCCTCCTGCTCCTCCTCCTCAGCCAATCATCCTCCTCCTCCTCTTCCTCCTCAGCCAATCATCCTCCTCCTCCTCCTCAGCCAATCATCCTCCTGCTCCTCCTCCTCCTCCTCAACCAATCCTCGCGCCTCATCCAATCCTCCTCCTCATCCAATCCTCCTCCTCCTCCTCCTCATCCAATCCTCCTCCTCCTCCTCCTCCTCCTCAACCAATCCCCTGCCTCATGCAATCCTCCTCCTCAGCCAATCCCCGTCCATCCTTCTCCGACGGCTGCCAAAACCTCGATGATAAACCTTTTCCGTGACTGCAACGGTTCGCCCTCTTTGGCTCCTCCGGTAAAATCCGCCACCAGCGTAGACAATGAGACTAAAACAACGAATTAATATATATATATTTTTTTAAAATTAACGCGCTGAAATTCCCCCGACCAGGCCCGTGCCTTCCGCCTGAAGGAACGGCCGCTTGGGTTGTGGCCCGAAACGTCGCGAGAATGCCACCGTCCTATTGGCCGAATTAAATAAATAAATAAATAAAAAAAATTCCGACACGCTGATCCTCGACCTGCGCGGCGGTGACTTTAACCGTTAAGAAGCGTGGAAGTGCCGGCCAATCAGCCGAACTGAGAGGCCGACCCACCGGTAGTAGTCACGCTTGCAGTAGATGGCCCCGTCCTTGCTAAAGCAGGTGAGCTCCGACTCGAGCGGGCGGGCACAGTCGCAGCAGCGCAGGCAGGCGGTGTGCCAGGCGCGGTCCACCGCCAGCAGGTAGTACCGCTCGGAGATGGGGCGCAAGCAGCCAGCGCACTCGGAGCTCGCCTTCTGCAGGCGCAAGCGGACGAGCGAGGGCGGGCGGGCGGGCGGGCGGGCAGGCACGCTCCAACACCTACTCACTTACTCACTCACTCACTGACTCACTTACTCACTGACTCACTCACTTACTCACTGACTCATTCACCTACTCACTCAAGTACTCACTTACTCACTTACTCACTTATTGACTCACTTACTAACTCACTTACTCACTCACTCACTTACTCACTCACTCACCTACTCACTCACCTACTCACTTACTCACTTACTCACTTACTCACTGACTCACTCGCTCACCTACTCACCTACTCACTCACTTACTGACTCACTTACTCACTCACCTACTCACTTAATCACTCACCTACTCACTTACTGACTCACTGACTCACTCGCTCACCTACTCACTTACTGACTCACTGACTCACTCACTGACTCACTTACTGACTCACTCACTGACTCACTCACTGAGTCACTCACCTACTCACCTACTCACTCACCTACTGACTCACTTACTGACTCACTCACTCACCTACTCACCTACTCACTCACCTACTCACTCACCTACTCACTTACTCACTCACCTACTGACTCACTCACTTACTCATTTACTCACTGACTCACTCACCTACTCACTTACTGACTCACTCACCTACTCACCTACTCACTCACCTACTGACTTACTCACTTACTGACTCACTAACCTACTCACCTACTCACTCACCTACTCACTTACTGACTCACCTACTCATTTACTGACTCACTCACCTACTCACTTACTCACTCATTTACTGACTCACTCACCTACTCACTTACTGACTCACTTACTGACTCACTTACTGACTCACTGACTCACTCACCTACTCACTCACCTACTCGCTCACCTACTCACTTACTGACTCACTTACTGACTCACCTACTCACTTACTGACTCACCTACTCACCTACTCACTCACCTACTCACTCACCTACTCACTTACTGACTCACTCACCTACTCACTCACCTACTCACTCACTGACTCACTTACTGACTCACCTACTCACTTACTGACTCACTCACCTACTCACTTACTGACTCACTCACCTACTCACTTACTGACTCACTTACTGACTCACTCACCTACTCACTTACTGACTCACTTACTGACTCACTCACCTACTCACTTACTGACTCACTCACTGACTCACTCACCTACTCACTTACTGACTCACTCACTCACTCACCTACTCACTTACTGACTCACTTACTGACTCACTCACCTACTCACTTACTGACACACTTACTGACTCACCTACTCACCTACTCACTTACTGACTCACCTATTCACCTAGTCACTCACCTACTCACTCACCTACTCACTCACTGACTCACTCACTCACTCACCTTCTGACTCACCTACTAACTCACTGATCACTCACCTAATCACTTACTGACTCACTCACCTACTCACTCACTGACTCACTCACTCACCTACTCACTCACCTACTCACTCACCTACTCACTTACTGACTCACTTACTGACTCACCTACTCACTCACCTACTCACTTACTGACTCACCTACTCACTCACCTACTCACTTACTCACTCACCTACTCACTCACCTACTCACTCACTCACCTACTCACTCACTCACTTACTCACTCACCTACTCACTCACCTACTCACTTACTGACTCACTTACTGACTCACTTACTCACTCACCTACTCACTCACCTACTCAATCACCTACTCACTTACTGACTCACCCACTCACCTACTGACCTACTCACCCACTCACTTACTTACTGACTCACCTACTCACTCACCTACTCACTTACTGACTCACTCACCTACTCACTTACTCACTTACTGACTCACCTACTCACTTACTGACTCACTCACTCACCTACTCACCTACTCACCTACTCACTCACCTACTCACTCACTCACCTACTCACTTACTTACTGACTCACCTACTCACTCACCTACTCACTCACTGACTCACTCACTCACCTACTCACTCACCTACTCACTCACCTACTCACTTACTGACTCACTTACTGACTCACCTACTCACTCACCTACTCACTTACTGACTCACCTACTCACTCACCTACTCACTTACTCACTCACCTACTCACTCACCTACTCACTCACTCACCTACTCACTCACTCACTTACTCACTCACCTACTCACTCACCTACTCACTTACTGACTCACTTACTGACTCACTTACTCACTCACCTACTCACTCACCTACTCAATCACCTACTCACTTACTGACTCACCCACTCACCTACTGACCTACTCACCCACTCACTTACTTACTGACTCACCTACTCACTCACCTACTCACTTACTGACTCACTCACCTACTCACTTACTCACTTACTGACTCACCTACTCACTTACTGACTCACTCACTCACCTACTCACCTACTCACCTACTCACTCACCTACTCACTCACTCACCTACTCACTTACTTACTGACTCACCTACTCACTCACCTACTCACTCACTCGCCTACTCACTCACCTACTCACTCACCTACTCACTCACCTACTCACCCACTCACCTACTCACTCACCTACTCACTTACTTACTCACCTACTCACCTACTAACCCACTCACTCACCTACTCACTCACCTACTCACTTACTTACTCACCTACTCACTTACTGACTCACCTACTCACCTACTCACTTACTGACTCACTCACCGACTCACTTACTCACTTACTGACTCACCTACTCACTTACTGACTCACTCACTCACCTACTCACCTACTCACTCACCTACTCACTCACTCACCTACTCACTAACTTACTGACTCACCTACTCACTCACCTACTCACTTACTCACTCGCCGACTCACTCACCTACTCACTCACCTACTTACTCACCTACTCACTCACCTACTCACCCACTCACCTACTCACTCACCTACTCACTTACTTACTCACCTACTCACCTACTAACCCACTCACTCACCTACTCACTCACCTACTCACTTACTCACTCATCTACTCACTTACTGACTCACTCACCAACTCACTCACCTACTCACTCACCTACTCACTCACCTACTCACTTACTGACTCACCTACTCACTCACCTACTCACACACTCACTTACTGACTCACCTACTCACCTACTCACTCACCTACTCACTCACCTACTCACTTACTGACTCACTCACCTACTCACTCACCTACTCACTCACCTACTCACCTACTCACTCACCTACTCACCTACTCACTCACCTACTCACTCACCTACTCACCTACTCACTCACCTACTCACTCACCTACTCACCTACTCACTCACCTACTCACTCACCTACTCACTCACTCACTCACCTACTAACTCACCTACTCACCTACTAACTCACCTACTCACTCACCTACTCACTCACCTACTAACCCACTCACTCACCTACTCACTCACCTTCTCACTCACCTACTCACCTACTCACTCACCTACTCACTCACCTACTCACTCACTCACTCACCTACTCACTCACCTACTCACCTACTCACTCACCTACTCACTCACCTACTCACTCACCCACTCACTCACCTACTAACCCACTCACCTACTCACCTACTCACCCACTCACTCACTCACCTAATAACCCATTCACTCACCCACTAACACACTAACCCACTCACTCATTCACTAACCAACTAATTACTCGCCCACTCACCTACTAACCCACTCACCTACTAACCGACTCACCCTTCAGGCAGCCACTCACCTACTAACCCACTCATCACTCGCCCAATCACTTACGAACCTACTCACCCACCCACCCACTAACCCACCCACCCACTGACCCACCTACCCACCCACTCACCCACTCACCTATTCACCCTTCGTCCAGCCACTCACAGGGGGTGGCTACTTCCTTCAATATTTGTGGCACAGCAGCCTGAGCAGGGTCATCCCCACGATGTTTGTCCCTGGCTGAGGGATTTCCCCTTCGCCCAAAACCCTCACAGAAATGCTCAGCAAATCTGCAAACCAGTTTCTGGGGGGTCGAAGATCGGCTCGGATGGCGATAGGTGTGGCGCTGCAAGGTGCCTTTATGATGGAATTCAAGAGCGATTTGTGATCGCGGGCCACTGAGGCAGACTCCATCTCCTCAGCAACCCGCGACCACCACCCATCCTTGCAGCGCCTCACGGCTCAGCCGAACCTCCGAGCGAAGGCTACGGTAAGCCTCCTCATTCTCTGACATGGGATGCTGTAGCCGATTTGAGTGGGCCCTGTCGCTATTTATCAGCCAGCCTGAACACCTCCTCTGTCAGCCAGGGTCTCTAGGGAGGTCTGGACCGCGTACCCAAAGCAGCCATTGCAGCTGCATGAGTCACAGTCCTAAACCTCGCCCATTTACCCTCGACATCAGCAGGAGGAGTGGGGGACGATGCCAACCCCAGCCGCAAGCGATGATGAAATTCTCGCTTGTAACTTTCATCAGATAACTGAGACCATGCCACTATGGGTTTGAATGGGGTTCCTGGATTGACTCAACCAAACTAAACTGTATTCTTGGTTCTTTCGGTAAAGTCACCACGTAGATAGAGAAACAATAAAATAATAAAAACTATAAAACAATAAAATTCACACGACGTTTCGACTGCAACACGAGAGAAGCAATCATCATCAGGTGTGAAAACCACGTAGAAGGGAAACAAGAAAATAATAAAAACTATAAAACAATAAAATTCTCACGACGTTTTGACCGCAACACGAGAAGCAGCAATCATCATCAGGTGCGAAAACCACAGCAAGAAAATTTGAATAAAACAAACACGCACACAGACGCACACAGACGCACTCACCTTGCCACGGGCTGAGCCATTGCTGCACGTGATTCCAGACAGTCCCAGAGACGGCATCTCTCCTGCTCAGAGAGAATAATAATAATAAGAAGGGTTAAGTTTTAATCACTGAGGTTCATATAGTCAAACTCCCACAGGGTTCAGTGTTAATCACTGAGACTCACAGAGCCAGCATGAGGCTCCCACAGGGTTCAGTGTTAATCACTGAGGCTCATATAGTCAAACTAAGGCTCCCACAGGGTTAAGTGTTAATCACTGAGGTTCATATAGTCAAACTCCCACAGGGTTCAGTGTTAATCACTGAGACTCATATAGTCAAACTCCCACAGAGTTCAGAGTTAATCACTGAGGCTCATATAGTCAAACTAAGGCTCCCACAGGGTTAAGTGTTAATCACTGAGGCTCATATAGTCAAACTCTCACAGGGTTCAGTGTTAATCACTGGGGCTCACAGAGCCAGACTGAGGCTCCCACAGGGTTCAGTGTTAATCACTGAGGCTCATATAGTCAAACTAAGGTTCCCACAGGGTTCAGTGTTAATCACGGAGGTGCATATAGTCAAACTAAGGCTCCCACAGGGTTCTATGTTAATCACTGAGACTCATATAGTCAAACTCCCACAGGGTTCAGTGTTAATCACTGAGACTCACAGAGCCAGACTGAGGCTACCACAGGGTTCAGTGTCAATCACTGAGGCTCACAGAGCCAGACTAAGGCTCCCACAGGGTTCAGTGTTAATCACTGAGACTCACAGAGCCAGACTAAGCCTCCCACAGGGTTCAGTGTTAATCACTGAGACTCACAGAGCCAGACTGAGGCTCCCTCCCATAGGGTTCAGTGTCAATCACTGAGACTGACAGAGCCAGACTAAGGCTCCCACAGAGTTCAGTGTTAATCACTGAGTCTCATATAGTCAAACTCTCACAGGGTTCAGTGTTAATCACTGAGGCTCATATAGTCAAACTAAGGCTCCCACAGGGTTCAGTGTTAATCACTGAGTCTCATATAGTCAGGATCCGACAGGGTTCAGTGTTAATCACTGAGACTCATATAGTCAAACTCCCACAGGGTTCAGTGTTAATCACTGAGGTTCATATAGTCAAACTAAGGCTCCCACAGGGTTCAGTGTTAATCACTGAGACTCACAGAGCCAGACTGAGGCTCCCACAGGGTTCAGTGTTAATCACTGAGACTCATATAGTCAAACTCCCACAGGGTTCAGTGTTAATCACTGAGAATCATATAGTCAAACTCTCACAGGGTTCAGTGTTAATCACTGAGACTCATATAGTCAAACTCCCACAGGGTTCAGTGTTAATCACTGCGGCTCATATAGTCAAACTAAGGCTCCCAGAGGGTTACGTGTTAATCGCTGAGACTCATATAGTCAAACTCCCACAAAGTTCAGAGTTAATCACTGCGGCTCATATAGTCAAACTAAGGCTCTCACAAGGTTAAGTGTTAATCACTGAGACTCATATCGTCAAACTCCCACAGGGTTAAGTGTTAATCACTGAGGCTCATATAGTCAAACTAAGGCTCCCACAGGGTTAAGTGTTAATCACTGAGGCTCATATAGTCAAACTCCCACAGGGTTCAGTGTTAATCACTGAGACTCATATAGTCAAACTCCCACAGGGTTCAGTGTTAATCACTGAGGTTCATATAGTCAGGCTCCCACAGAGTTCAGTGTTAATCACTGAGACTCATATAGTCAAACTCCCACAGGGTTCAGTGTTAATCACTGAGGCTCATATAGTCAAACTCCCACAGGGTTCGGTGTTAATCACTGAGACTCATATAGTCAAACTAAGGCTCCCACAGAGTTAAGCGTTAATCACTGAGACTCACAGAGCCAGACTGAGACTCCCACAGGGTTCAGTGTCAATCACTGAGACTCACAGAGCCAGACTACGGCTCCCACAGGGTTCAGTGTTAATCACTGAGACTCACAGAGCCAGACTGAGACTCCCACAGGGTTCAGTGTCAATCACTGAGACTCACAGAGCCAGACTAAGGCTCCCACAGGATTCAGTGTCAATCACTGAGACTCACAGAGCCAGACTACGGCTCCCACAGGGTTCAGTGTCAATCACTGAGACTCACAGAGCCAGACTACGGCTCCCACAGGGTTCAGTGTTAATCACTGAGACTCACAGAGCCAGACTACGGCTCCCACAGGGTTCAGTGTCAATCACTGAGACTCACAGAGCCAGATTGAGGCTCTCACAGGGTTTAGCGTTAATCACTGAGACTCACAGAGCCAGACTTAGGCTCCCCTATGGTTCAGTCTTAATTACTGAGACTCACAGAGTCAGACTAAGGCTCCCATAGGGTTTAGTGTTCATCACTGAGGCTCACAGAGCCAGACTAAGGCTCTCATACGGTTCAGTGTTAATCATTGAAACTCATGTAGTCAAACTATGGCTCCCACAGGGTTCAGTGTTAACCATTGATGCTCACACAGCCAGACTAAGGCTCGCAGAGCCAGACTGAGGCTCCCACAGGGTTCAGTGTCAATTACTGATACTCATAGAGCCAGACTAAGGCTCCCACAGGGTTCAGTGTCAATCACTGAGACTCATATAATCAAACTAAGGCTCCTACAGGGTTCAGTATTAATCAAAGATGCTCACAGAGCCAGACCAAGGCTCGCAGAGCCAGACTGAGGCTCCCATAGGGTTCAGTGTCAATTACTGAGACCCACAGAGCCAGACTGAGGCTCCCACATGGTTCAGTGTTAATCACTGAGACTCACAGAGCCAGACTGAGGCTCCCACAGGGTTCAGTGTTAATCACTGATACTCATATAATCAAAATAAGGCTCCCACAGGGTGAGTCTCAGACTCAGGCTCTGTGAGCTTCGTGCGGAGCGACAGACCAGGCAGCTTCCACACAGCGTTACGCAATCAATGAAAATATATTGCCGCTCGACTGATTCGGAGTGAGACCTTTGCTGTCAAACCGGAGCTGGTCAGGAGCACACTGCCCAGGTATGGAAAACTCTCCACTCTCTCCACAACTGCCCTATCACCAACAGGGAGTTGTGGGGGAGGAGTATCCGATGGTACAAAATACCCAGGCAGGTGCTTAGTTTTGGTGGGGCTGATGGTAAGGCCCCACCTCTTAGTGGCAAGCTGCAGGTTCAGCACCAGCGCCTCCCATTCCTCCTCTGAGTGAGCAGCAATTACCAGATCATCGGCATACATAATGTGGTTGAGCAATGGGGAGCCATCCCTTGACTGCACCCGGGCATCGATCAGCCTCCCATTGTATCTACACTAGATGGAAATTCCTCCAAAACAGCAATCGAAGGCTTCACAAACTACGTGGTAAAAATATATGTGGGAGCCAGAGGACATCCCTGTCGCACCCCAAGGTGTACAGAGAATGGCTCTGACTCCCGGCCATGTAGTTTGACCCGGGCCCGCTCACCATCATGAAGGTCCTTAATGATCGTGAGCAGAGGGTCAGGTACTCCAAAAGCACGACGAACAACCCAGAGCTCAGGCCTACTGATGGTATCATAGGCCTTGACCAGGTCAATAAAGCAGAGATGTAGGTCTTGTTGGAATTCCCTACACCTCTGTTGTAGCAGACGGACAGAAAATATGGCATCTGTTCAGGACCGCCCTTTCCTGAAATCGCACTGGGGCTCCGCAAGCCTCTCCTCAGCGTGTCTGGCAAGGCGATGCTGAATAATCCTTGCCAGGACCTTTCCCGGCCTCACACTGAGGAGTGAGATGCCCCTGTAGTTGTTACAGTCTGTGCGGTCCCCCTTCTTAAAGAGGGGGACCATCAGAGCATCCTTCCAATCCTGCGGAACCCATCCAGTGGTCCAGACTGTTGTTATGATGTCATATAGGGCAGTCTGTGCACAAACGCCACCCTCACTCAGCATTTCGCTTGGGAGATCATCTCTGCCCGGTGCCTTTCCTGGTCTCGGACTCTGGATCGCCTTCAGTACTTCCTCAACAGATGGCACCTCAGCCAGCCACTCACAGGGGGTGACTTCTTCAAATATATGCGGAACTGCAGCCTCAGCAGGGTCATCCCCACTTTGTCCCACGATGTTTTCCAGCCTGATGGATTTCCCCTCCCCCAGGATCTCACAGAAATGCTCAGCAAATCCGCAAAAAACCCCTTCCTATACCAAAATCAATAGCGATCCCACCAACTGCCTGGTTACGAAAACCAACAACGTCATCACTGATTCGACATCTTTCAATCAAACCGACCAAGCGGCTTTCCTCGAAACCCTCTGCTGCCTTGACCACACAGATTGATTGTATGGCTTACCAAAAATCCGTAAGGAAGGTGTACACCAATTCTAGATTTGAAGCTTTCGTGACTGCAAGGATCCATACTCTTTGGTTCTATTCGGTAAATTCACGTAAAAGTAAAAAAAAAACCAACAAAAAATAAAAAAATTCTCACGACGTTTCGGCCACAACACAAGTGGCCTTCATCAGGTGAAGGGACCAGACTGTCTCGAGGACAGCGCTGGAGCGAACACAGCCAAGCTCAGACCGCGACCTTTAAGCTGTGGACATGTTCACCCCCTCTCTACACCGTTCATCATGCTAAGTCCGCCAATCGAATGCTAATTTTTTTTTAATGCTAACTCCTTTGTCAAGGCGCTCCGCTTCCTCTCACACAGCTTAAAAGTCGCGGTCTGAGCTTGGCTGTGTTCACTCCAGCGCTGTCCTCGAGACAGTCCGGTCCCTTCACCTGATGAAGGCCACCTGTGTTGTGGTCCGAAACGTCGTAAAATTTTTAACTTTTAATTTTTGTTGTTTTATACTTTTGCGTGACTTTACCGCATAGAACCAAGGAGTATGGGGCACACCACTCCGTCCTATCGTCTCCGACCATTGGCTCACCCACCTACAAACCGGCCCGGTTTCTGTCTGAGACCCTGCAACCATTTCACTGGTAAGACCACCTCGGCTGTACTCAACTCAGCTCGCTTGGTATCTGCAATCAAGGACACCGCACTATCTGCAGGTGATTTGCTCGTTAGCTTCAATGCCGTCTCGTTGTTCACCAGAGTTCCTGTGCCCGGCACCGATTGCAATCACTGAAGATTTGGTCCAACAAGGAGGGCTGAATGCTGATGCACCGGCCCCGGTTCAGACACTTGCCTCGCCAACGCTTACTTCGCCTGGAATGGAA